ATTTGCCGCATGACATTTATTACTTTTTAATGAGCAATTTTCCCCCGAAACACGGAAACTTCTGTGTTTCAAAGTAGGACCAAAACCAAAGGAAGGAGCAGCACCGAGCACTCCACGTGGCTGGCATTAGGTTGCCCCGAAAAACCTTGGCCATGCCAAGTAAAACTTGCAACACTTACACAAACTTTTCAACAAGTTCAAAATGAACTCGATAAAATGGCCAAATCATGGCCCTATACAGGACACTCTTGGCCAGATTAGTGCAGAAGTCATAAAGGCAAATGATGGCTAAATAAAAATGGTAAATGCGAGTTTCCTGCCAACTCATGCAAACGTTTTGTCAGCGTCAGGGGACGAGCGAAACTTGCCTAAAATTATGTCTCAGCGCCTCAAGCCTGAGGTTAGGCGAGTGGCAGTGGCATGCCCCACAAGCACGTTGCAACATGGCTCCAAGTCAGGCTGTGGTTGGGCCCACGCCTCGTTTCTTGAGGAACTTTAACCGAGGAAAAACTTCCACTGGAAAGAAACTTCAGTTTTTGTCAACATGTTGCGGCTGGCAGAATTTCCACAAGAGAAGAGACAAAAAATAAACTTTTAGTAAAGTGTGGAGTAACATTTGGATAACATTTTTAACGAGATATGAAAACGGGAAATGGAAAACCATGTGATTCTATGAAAGTTTAACAGAATTAAGTTTGGTCTTAACTAAATTAAGAACAGATTAAATTGTTTATCTACAAGTATGTATATGAGTTTTGGACAAAGTTTAATTTCTTTCCTTTGATTCTAGTGAAACCTACTAGAATAAGACGGTGGCCTTATATACTCATAATGGTTCTAATGAAATCTATCTACGACGAAATCTCTCTTTCCAACATGGCGTGGATATAAGGTCTGTCCAAAGAGTAGCCTGAAAAGGATTATATTAAGCCCTTTGAAGATCTTAGATTATTTCCAGCAGTAGAATATGTATATATTCTTTTCTAATATTTACGATGCATAAAGAAGAAGGATCTCAATTCCATAATCTTCCTTGTAATTCCATAATCATAATTTCATAAAAAAAATTTCTTAAAACTATTCTCAATTTAAACAAACAAAAATCCTCAACAAAATGGAAACAAATCAATTCAAATCCACGCTGAAAGATTTCCTCTTACACATATTCCAATCCCGTATAACTTAAATCCATTTAAAAAACATTTTTATCGCCGATAGAGTCTGAATGCATTTTGGGATAAGCGACGCTCAACAGAACAAACTGAACTTTTTGTGAGAAGAGAACAATTTCCATTCGGGGAAAAAACAATTTCTCTATTGCACTCAATATAAATAACTATTCTCTTTTTTTGTGGGATTTCCTTGTTAACTGAAAGCGTTGGCAATAATCCTTTGTGCATATCCGAGGCAAACAAAACTAATTTCGTGTTTGTTTTCCGAGCTTTTGCTCGCAGCCAGGATTTTCCTACCCTTTCAGAGCGAGTCGGCCATAAGTGAAGTCGGTAAATAAATCATTTTATGCAACTGCAAATGGAGTTTGTAATGCAAATCCTTTTGCCATGCTGAAAGGGATTTTCCAAGCTCCTTAAGCTATTCCTCTCTGTTTCCCATTTTCCTCTCACGTATCCCTGTGGCTGGGGCAATTGGAGCGCTAAAGAGACCGCGGGGAGAAATTAAGACAATTGTCGATCCGCATCGACGCTTCCAGCGTTTGAAGCGCCACGCAGCCGGAAAAATGCTTCTCCCTGTCCCGTCCCGTCCCCCTTTTGACAGAGACTTCGACTTCGACTTCCAGTTCCACTTGGAGACATCTCCAGTTGCATGCGAAATGAAGCTCTTGCTCCATGGATGGCTAATTGGGGGATAGACCAGACTCAAGTCGACAAACTCAAGTCTCACCAACGCGATTAGCTGGCATGAAAGTTTAAAGTTGTTGAAACTTTTAAGCCAAGCACTAGGCAAAAACTTATTCCAAAGACAAAAAATCTACTATGCATTGAAATATACATAAATAAATAGGGGAAAATGGGGAGACGGTACCAACTGGACTTCACAAATTGGTTGGCAAATTTCAGTTTTCCAAGTTTAAGTGCAAAAAGAACTGGGGCCATTTCGCTAGACTACAGCTTTAGAGGACTAGGAAGCTGGAATCCAGGTTGTTCTATGATTTCAGGATTACAATTTTGTGATCTACTATTCTTGATATACCAGTAAAAAAAATGTAAGTTACGAGAACTTAAAGCGCAAAAAACAGTCCAGATCTCAATGTATTCAAAAGCAGATTGAATATATCAACACCTCCCCGGGCCACTGCAACCTCATGAATATCTCAACGATTTCCCCCAAGTAAAAAAGAACAACGCAACGCATCGCATGACAGAGTTTTCCTTCAACCCCGAAGGCAGTCATGGCAACTAATCCAATAAGTTCCACTTGCACTATCCTAATGAGCCATTTTATTTGCCTAGCCCTCCTAGTGAGCCCCATGGAACTGCTTGGATGGCCCTATCCCATCACCAATCCCCTATCCACATCCTGTTGCTGGAACAAAAAGTTTTCTATGCCGCCTTCCGAGACAGGCGACAAAAGTTACATTTAATGAAGCATCAGGACACACACAACGCTGGGGCTTCCTGCAGATTCAGATAGAGGGAGAGGTGATAGAGGGGCCAGGACTTTCAACTTGTTGGCTGGCAATTTTCCATGTCGCGCAATTAGGCAAAAAGTTAAATTGCTTGTCATAAATGTGAAATTTGCAACACAAAAATTGACTTAAGTGAGTGCAGTGCAGCGGCAGCTCCAGCTCCAGCTCCAGAGCTAGGGCCAGGACCTGGACCAGATCTATCTTGAGCAGCAGCTCGAAATAAATTTAAGCGGCTTTTGAATTTAAATTGCACTCATAAGCGTCGTAACTCCTTGAGCTGTAAAAAGCGCTGAGCTGGTCTGAGCCAAAACCCCCCATAAAGATTACAAAAAGTCGTAAAAGGCCAGAAATATGAATGCGATAGTCATACTCTAGTACTAGTCCTCGTTCTCCGCTGCGAGGGCACCGAAAAATGGCTTAAATAAAATAAAACAGCAGACTCATGCGGAAAAGTCAACGCTGCCAACATTTTCCTGACATTTTCCGCTGTCAGCCAGCGGGGTATTGGTAGGGGAGAGGGTTGTCTCCACCAAATGAAGCCGGGGGGTGGAGGTTTGGGGTCTCTCGTGTAGTTGTTAAGCTGCTTGGGGAGGAAGGCTTAAAATATGCGCCGCTGGCTCAACATTTTGTCATATTTTCCAGCGGCTACAAGAAGCTGGCTTCATTATAGAACAGCTTGAAGCAGCGCCCTCCCCTCTGCCAACCCACCACCCCTTGCATAAAATATAGAATTAAAAAGCTCGCCAAAAAGTTGGGGCACAAAAAAAAAACAGAGCAAAAGTTGAAAAGCGACGACAAAAGCGAAAAATAGAAACAAAAATGTTTGTTGACTTGTTGGTCGCTCGAGTAAGTGTATTAGTGCGGGGTAATGGCGAAGAGGGGAGGAGTGTGTATGGTTAGAAGCTTAAGTCACACCTGCTCTGTGTCTCTCTATCCCTGTCCCGTCTATGGATGTGTGTGTTATGTTAAAGTTGCAACTTAATGGGCAGCATGTCCGGGTTATTTTGTTGCCCAAAAGTCATGGCTAGTTGAACCTTACGTTATGGCCGAAGACAGTGGTATAATTGGATGGATTCGTGCGTAAAATGAGTTGAAAGTTCGAGGAAAAGTTTTATTCAAGATAAAGATACAAATTAAAATAGGTTCTAAACATCGAAAGACACATTCTGTGTCCGCTTAGTTTTCAGTTGAAGCCCACAGCCCTACATGTACCTGCCCTTCGAAAAGATTCCATTGTTGCTGTTTGTTGTTGCTGGCCGCAATTCAAGTTGACATCTCTCTGACCCCTTGGAGACCACTAGCATGTTCCATGTAGCTCTTACTAGCATTTCTCCCGGACAGCACACACACCGAATATGCAGGAGGCCCGATGGAAGCACCAACACTATCCAGCACAAACAAGGAGTGGTGTGGAGTGGCAATAAAATGCAAAGAGGCAAAAAACAGTGAGGGGAGACGAGACGCATCAACAAGCCCGGACAGCTTTTGAGTCAACTCGAATTTCAGATGGTTTACAACTTTTGTTTATTTATGGAGGCCCTCGGCTACGGGACTGCCTTTCGTTGCTCCTCCATTTGGGCACTCAAATTAAAGGACCGACAAAAATGTGATTTTTCGAAAAAACATTTATAGGCGTACTCCCCTAAAACCCTACACACTTTAGGGAAAAAGCTTTCACCTGCAATTTAGTTTGGCTGCACTTGCCATAAAACGAAAATTTCATTAGGCCCCTAACCCCAAAGAGAGAAAAACATAATGGAAAAGGAGACTTTCCCTCCGATTAGTACTGGACCACTGGCACAGCTCCATTTGCAGTTTGGCTTTTCTCTCAACTTTCCCACTTTTTCTATTTTTTGCTGTTTCTTTCCTGTTGTATTTTGCCGTAAATTCCAAACCATTTCCATTTTCCACAAAACGTGACTGAGTTTCCGGGCTCTACCCACGCTACGGCCTGCCCCATTTCGTTCGTTTCGGGGGAGCCTTCGGCAGAGGAAACTGTAAATAAATTTTATTTTTTGGCCGCCTGCAAAGTGCATAGAGGAGGTCTGGAGTCGGCCGGAACGGGCTGGCTGGCGGCCGTACGGCAAGGCCTTAAAATTGGAAACTTTATCTGCATTTAGTACATAAATAATCGAGGGGCCTTTTGGATGGGGCTCGGAATGGGAGGTGCAAAAAGGCTTTTAACTGCAGCGGGATCAGCCTTCCCTGGATCTAGTTTAGTTCGGTCGGCAATTTGGATGGTAATTTGTTTTATCATCCCTACGTTTAATTTGTCTCGATAGATATTAGAGCCAGTTATCGATTTGATACCAGCACTAAGGGACCCCTGAGTCGACGAAAGAATATACAATTTACAAATATTCGTAGAAAATTGCTGTAAATGTCCACGTTTAAGTTTACGGAAAGCCATTTCAACTGTCGGAAACGCGCTCACAATGCAGAGCTTCAAACAAACTACGAGGTAGGAACAAGTTAGCTTTTTACTCAAACCGTTTACTAAAGTTACCTTCGTAAATAAGACTCCGGTTCCAGCTCCCGAATGGGATCGCATTCCAACTGCAGACTTTGATACTTTCGATGGATTGTCGAACTTGAATGCGCCTCTGGACAATCTATCCCTGCAGGAGCGTCATCGCACCAAGCTGACCAACCGTAAAAAAGTGTTGGCCTATCAGAGTAGCCACCACCAGCGCCTCGCTGAACTTTTGGCCTCGCAGCAGGCTGCTGGCAAATGTGATACATCCGAAGCTTAGCCCCATCGGAGGCACGTAAGTGGATTGACGCACAGTCGGGCATAAGTGAATTATCCTCTTCTATTTCCCCAGCTTTGTCCGTGTCCCAGGGTGTCTCTTGTGATAGCGTATAAGTGTCTCCACATGGCACGAGGCTGCCGACATTGATTGATGGTCGACATGAGACTCTTCCAAGGACCAAGCTATGACGGATAGTGCGATTCGTTGGACTAGCATCTCTACTGTAATAATATCAACAATTACCAACACAAAAATACACAAAATGTAACAAAATACAAACAAATTTCAGTGCGCTTCAATAAAAGTGGCTGCTGTGGCACACATCCAGCGAATTCGTCTACGTCTGCATGTGTGTATCGATGATGATAACGATGGAGTGAAGCAATGGCATTTTATTAGTTTATTTTCTTAAAACTACGCGAATTTCACAGAGCAAGCTAGGGATGCGACACGATAAATGAAGCTGTTAGATCAGCTGTTACGTTAACAGCTTCTGGATTGAACCTGGCTGCGGCTGTTAATGCACTATATATTTGCAGATTTTATTACAACGGCTGCAGAACGATATTTGTATTGATTAACAAGTCTTAATAATATTTAGTCCTATGGGTAACTTGTAACAAAATTTTGTTTGTTTTTATGCATTTGTGTAAATAGCTTGCAGAGCCGCCATCTTACATTAACATGCGCAGCCAACTTTGCACATTTCGTGCTGTTGGCGCGCAATCAGTCGAATTGTATAATTTAAAATTAGTATTAGCAATTTTACAAGAAAAAAAATCCAATGAGATCGCCTTCTATGTCTAGGGGGCTCTAGATCATTTTGTTTTCCAGAAAATCGTACTCTAGTTTGCCGTTTCTGGGCTCATGCAGTAGATTTTGGCGAACTTGTGAGATTTAGATCAGGTGGAAGGCTCTTTAGATGTGCGCTTGGCAACGACAATCTGCTGCGGCTTTATAAATCGTTTCACAAAGTTGGAGGAGCAAAAAGCAAAAATGTTTTCTACTTCCTGATCGTCGAACTGATAGCGCAACATGATGAGGGCGCCTGCGGCTTCCACTTCCAGGGCCCCGTACGTGACTCCGGAAAACTCAGGGTGAGACATCAAATTGCTGGGTAGAGAAATTCCTTCGGTTGTATTTTTATAAGGTGTTACGATTAATTGGAAGGATAGTGAATTGATCTTCTCTGCTGTTACGTTAAAAGCGTGTCAACCAATTTTGCCAACCGATCACATACATTACTGTAAGGTGGACGGGGCTATTGAGACAGCTGATTTTTATTGTGCGTGCGACGATTCTTGTCAGAGAACTGTTACTCCCAGTGGATGCTATCTAATTTAGCTTTGAGCTAATTGTTAACAGGCGAATGAATACGTTTTAAGCAATTGCCGTTTATGCTTTCAAGTGATTAAAAGCCTACTCCGTTCAGTGGATTGCTTTTAGCTTGTGTACACACAATATGCACATGTCACCAGCATCAACAGACACACAGCACACTCAGAGAGGGAGAGGGAGAGGAGAGGGGTAGTAGAGACAGGACGAACCATGACAATGTCAGATGCATTGAAGGCAATGAAGCACTTTAAATGCAAAACTCACTCAAAATGTGTGCCTACAGAATTGTCATTGAGTTTCCATTTAACGAGCTTGGCAAATAACCATATGCCAGAGGGATCCATAGAGCTGCAGACAGAGAGTCGTCATCTCTGGCCAGGCAGGATGTACAATTTGTGTCAGGATGCATTGATTTATGTCCAGCACGAACCTGAGAGTGGGAGTGAGCTGGGAGACTGACTGCAGAAACATGAATCTTCGTTTGTGAATTACATTTTATATGGGTGTGCCGTGCCGTGCAGCCGGCAGCCCTGCATATATGTATACATATGTTTCAATTAGTGCACAAATGAAGGGTCCACCAAAGGAACACATCTCCTTTCGCCTGGAGCTTAATTAAAGCCAGCCTCACAGCTTTATATATGCAGATCCTGTATCATACGGCATAGGACAAAATCAAATCCATTCGACTGTAAAATTTCCTGTTTATGTGGCCTCTGATGTGTCTGCCTGTGGATTCTGTAAATGGAATTTTACAGTTGCCAACGAAAGACAATGGGCAGACTATTTGGAATAAGTATTGGTTCTTCAGCACTTTGTTTGCATCTCTCTCTCTCAATTATTTAATGAAGATGTCTTTTCTTCATGGAAATTGTTTTGAGAAATTGAATTCAATTTTATTTGCTAGCAAAACGGCAAACACAGCTGGTGAGAGTGTGTCAGACAGAACATAGCTCTTAATTAAGACTAGAGTTGAGTGTAAATAAAAGAGATAAAAGAGCTGGGAATGTACTAAATGCCAGGTGCTGTATACTTTCTTGTAATGTTTATTTTGCAACAGCTTATAAAATGTATGTCCGTCTGTGCCGTACTAGCAGTAATTGCTATTGAAATTGAGATATTTGACTTCAACAAGTCCTGACAGAACTTATAATCCAATCTTGATGAAAATGTGATATTTAAGCAAGCTTCCGAAAAGTTCTAGTTCCTTAGCCCATAAAATGCTGTACAAATATGGCCCCCTTCTTACAATCGCTTTTAAACAGTTTCTTCCTTTCCCATGAAATATCTCTCATGGTAGTCCTGCCTGCATTTCTGAAATATTTCACAAACCCCTGCATGCGCAATTTTGCGCCAGAAAAGAATCTGAAAGTTGTTGAAAATTAGCCGGGAATGGAATAAGTTGGCTGCCGTCGAGGCTGGTCGAGGGAGGCACAATTGAAATTCATAAGACTCGAAAAATTCCATTCCCCATGCAGTTAACTATGGAAGGTAACTTGTTCATAACTTCATGTTATTTCCTTAATGAAATTCCCCCGTCTGCAGCACAGTCTGCTCGGGGTGTACCCCCAATTTCAGCAGTCCCCTTTCAGAGGCCGAGCCGGAGCTTTAGCTTATTGAAATACTGAACGTTGAGTCCCCCCCCATCCCCATTGCGAGCCCCAGCCCCAACCATACTTAAGTCCCCCCTTTCAGCTACAACAATGCAAATATTATTCCTTGACACCAGCTGTAGCCGAGGAGGCTTTGGCAGCGGCTGTCACAGCCAAGCACCAGCCAACGCTTCATCTCAGGAGGGTGGCCTTCACCTTCCCTTCACCCGCCCCTTGCTTGTGCCCCACCCACGTGGCATTTCCATTTTGCTGCTAATAACTTGTTGCATAACCAGAAATCCCTGACGCCTGCCATAAAGCACTTAATCAAGTTAATAAAAATTGATGGCTGGCACGCAAGCAATTTGTATTTTATCTGCCAAAAGGCGAGACATTGGCCTGGGGCTTCTTTAAATATTCGGTAATATTGGTAGAAGATCTAATCGTTATTGACTAATGGTATTGCTAGCTGATAGATAGTATTTTTAATGGCACGATAACTTTTTTGGAAAAATTTGGAAAAATAAAATATTGTTGGTGAACCCTTCTTCATACCTCCTCGGGATTGATTCTCCCATCTTAAGGTAAGTTATTGTTTCTAAATTAATGAATACTTTTTATGATTTAATAGATTAAACAATTCCAATAATGAAATATTGTTTTTGTTTTATTTACAATTTTCGTCCGGAGCTCTGGATCTCTTAATTTTGAAATACCAATCTAAAACACATGTGGAGAATAACAAAGGGACGACAAATCGAATATAGGTATCCTTGTACACCTGTAACCACGGATGGACCCATTGAACAGATTGTTATTGCATTGGATGCTCTCGGGACATCATCAGATTGAGTGAGTACTTCCATCTTGATTTACGATTCATTTAAGACTTCGAATGAGTATTTGCTTGATTGTGCATCCATTGTTCGTGAACGATGTTGACGTCAATAGAAACTGTTGAATGCATTACCATAAGTGATATTATATTGTCAGCAGCTTTATGATTGTTCCCCACTAATTCCTGAGCATGACTTATGCGTGACTTATGATTATTTCGCTTGTAGTGCGCGACAGGAGCGTGACTGTGACTGCCTTGACCCCTTCACCATCCCCATCCCTGAAACCCCTTCGTGAGTGATACGTGATTGGAAATAATTTAAGCTCTTCTCTTCGGTGCTGTTCTGCTGCGTTGTGCTGTGCGGCTGTCTTGCCTATCAGCGCATGATAAACCAATTTGCGCAAATTTAAGATGAAAGAGAAGACAGGACCACAGCAGCCCCATGCCATGCCGCACCAGGCCACACCACGCACACATACTCGTTCGTATTCTCCTGAAATGGAAGCATTTTCACAACTGTCATTGAAATGTCAACATAAATCTACTGACAGCCACTGCCCCCCCCCCCCTGATTTCGCACGCTCACTCGCTCATCCCAGCCTTTTCTTCTGGATCTGCCTCTGCCCCTCTGTGGCTCTGGCTCCCCTTTCCCCAGCGACTTTTGCGCGCTGCGTGACGTAAATGCTGATGAATATTTCTCATCTGTTGTCTGTGGTTCCCCGTCTGATGCGGGGCATCGAGATTGTGGGCCAGCTCGATGCTGGTGGCTGGGTGGGTGGGTGGTCGAGGGTATCCTCGGTTTGCCCTGCAGTTTTGTTATATGTCGTGGATTTCAGAGTTGGCTTCGGACTAGGACCAGGACGAGGACGATGAGGAGAACTCCTCATTCTACAGCGAAATGGGCTTGTCAGTTTTGATGAACTATCTTTGGGTGCTCGCCGCATGGCATGGTCCTTGCCGTCCGCGCCGTCCTCATCGTCCTTGTTCATTGCTAATGCTAATGCCTCTGACAGAGATCTATGTGCGGTCTGATTCATTCGAGTCGCAGTCTTAGTCTCAGTCGCAGACCCACTCCTAGTCCCAATCCCAGCCTCAGGAGCACCACAAGATGAGGTCACGTACAATTGCGTCGACGCTGACTAGGACTCTTGTTTGGCTTATTATATGTTTAGTTGTATTTTGCAATTCCAGACAGTTTTTGGTCCTGTCTTGCCCATGCATTTAGTATTAATCTGGCTTAAATGTGATTAATGTCTGGCCGAAAAGGTTCCCATCCGGCAAGAGTCGTGCGGTCAGACACCCAAGTCCCTGTTAAACTAAGCCTCGCTTAGCAAATCTAATCAATATCACCCCCCCTCCTCCCATCAACATACAGTTTTCAATTAAAGAGTATGTTTTGTGGGACAGCTGGAGATTTGCTAGATGTTTAGGATTTAATTTAATTTGTTGGAGACCAAAGGCAGCTGCTGTGGGAGGTTCTTAAATCGGTGCGATTTATGCTGCTTGAGAAATAGGAATGTACTGTTTTCTAGATGAATAGCTTATTTCACGATCTTTTATGCCTACATTTGCGCCACGTTTAAAAATGATCCTTTGATGGTTTACAAGATATAGTTTGAATCATAATTGTGTCCTATGAGTTCGCTTCGTCCTTCGATCCTTCTGAAGCACGACCCTTTCTACAATTCCCTTATATGAATCGACACCCAATTTAATATTCCATCTAGAGAACCTAATCAATATCGCCCTTAGCCGATTCCATCTTCGATAGCTCTATCGCTACTACCTTTGCAGGCGTTGCCATAACTTAATGATATCGTAACTTGCGAGTATGTATGGCTGTAGGGTGGTGGTCCATGGCAACATTCATTAGCTGTTTGCTGGGGCCAGCGGGTTTGCTTTAAAGTTGTTTGCCAGCTGCTGCTGCTTTTGGTGCTATTCGTGCTGTTTGTACTGCTGTGCACTTTGTGTGGTTTAATTAAAGCTCCGCAAGCAACACAACACAACTCCACACCAGTGGGGACACAGAGTGAGATGGCAGTCGACAGGCGGCAGCTGCCTTAAACCAAATTACACTAATTGGGTTACCATATGACAGGGCAATGCGTCGACTGTGACATTTGTTTGCCATGGCTTGCCAATGCGTGCATTATATCCTGCCATATCCACCTCACAGTTGCGACACCCACAGCGCCGCCCACATGTGTGCGACGAGGCGTGGCATAAGCCCAGTCGCCAGTAAGTCCTTCACTTCCTCCCTGCTTGTAATAAGCTGCAAAATGATTTTCCGCATGCCGGCTGCTTTGACAGCTGGAATAACACCCATATGGCTCAAAGCAAAGGCAGTGGCAGTGGCGGTGGAGTGCGGAAATGCCGTCTGAAAGGAGCTTCAAAAGGGAGAACCCCACGAAGATCGTGTGGTCTCATTTGTGTGTGGATCAACCAGGCAGAAACTTTAATTTATTCGAATTCCTCATCTTGAAGTTTAAACATTTGCAGGCGGTTCAAAGGACACTCGCTTGCTGGGGACCCCACCCGATGGTGTTTGTAGTCCCTCCAGTATGCGATTGAGTGCCTCCGAGCCGAGGGTATACTCCTGTTTATTGGCATCATTGTGCATGGCATCGATGTAGACACTGCTGCGATCCACGCTCCGATTCTCTTTGCTACTGAATAAGCGCTGCAACGCCGCATTGACCGCCTCCGAGCCAAGAACTGGCGGTTCGGTCAAGTCGGAGTGGTCTATTGCTGCGAACTCCTCGTTTGACGTGGGCGAGCTGTCGATTGCCGCCGTGTTTTTAATGCTGACAGTCCTGGGCACAGTCTCTTTATCGTTTGCGACATTCACGTGACGCACCACATTGGTCACCGTCAGTGCACCCATGGCACAAGACACCAACCACTGAGCAATTGAATTCATTGCCATTTTAAATGGTTTTGATCTGTTTTAAAATATAAATTTCCAATATTAAGGCTAAGGGATTAGCAGCGTACTAAGCGCATACTTATAAAATCTAAAATTTTTACGAAATTCAAATTTAAATTTAAATATCCGCCTCAAGTGCTCACTGACGGAAGCTGTATTTTCGACGCACATCGCTCTTATGCTTTTGAGTATTTTTCGGTATATTTTGAAACCGTGACGTATATTTCGGTATATTTCTGAGGGTCAGACCGTATATTTTATCTGCGGGCACACTGAACATAAACTTTGTTTTGGTTGTTGTTAACACAAAAAAAAGAATTTTTTTGCAACCGCAGCTGGAAGATGCTGCCGGGCGTGGGTGTATTCGGAACGGGCGAAATAGCCAATGTGCTGGTGCCCCTGCTGCGCGAAAAGGGCTTTGAGGTGCGCGCCATTTGGGGACGCACCCTAAAAGAAGCCAAAGAGACAGCCACCGCACAAAATGTTTCGTTCCACACGAACGTCATCGATGACGTTCTTCTGCGAAAGGATGTGGACTTGGTGTTCATCGTGTGCCAGCCCTTCCTGCATGCGGAGATCTCTGTGAAAGCTCTGGGCATTGGCAAGCACGTAGTGTGCGACAAGCCCGCTGGACTGCATCAGCAGGATGCCTTGAAAATGGTGCGGGCCTCGCAGTACTATCCCACTCTGATATCGCTGGTGAATCATCCTCTGCGCTTTTTGCCGGCCTTCACGCATATGCGGCGCTGCCTGCAAGAGGAGCTAATAGGACCGCTGCCCGAGGTGGTGCTGATGGATGTGCGCGTGCAGATGGGCACACTCTTCCCGGAGAAATACAACTGGATGTGCGATGCGCAAATGGGCGGTGGAGCCCTTAATCTGGTCGGCAGCGTCGTGGATCTGGTTACCTTTCTGCTGCAGCAGCAGGCGGTGCGAGTGCATGGCGTCCTTAGAGCCTACACCAAGACGACGCCGGCCATCAATGGTATTCGGCAGATTACGGCCCCAGACTTTTGCAACTTTCAAATGGAGCTGGCCAGCGGCACCCTCGTCACGGTGGCCCTGCACAGCCATACGGTGCCGGCCAAGGCCTTCTCCCAGGAGGTGCTCGTCTATGGCAGCAAAGGACACCTTGTGGTCCGCGGCGGAGATCTATTTGTGCTGAAGGAGGGCCAGCCCAAGGAGGAGGCCGTCTATGTGGATGTACAGGATCTGCATTTCGCCACAAACAACTCCCTCCTGCCCAGACCCTATATCAAGGGACTCTGTAAGATGGTGGGCGCACTAAAAGAAGCTTTTGGTAGCAAGGAGTCCTCGTGGGTAAAGGCGCCCGTCTCCACGGCCGCTACCTTCGAGGATGGGCTCTACGTCCAGGCCGTTGTGGAGGCCATACGCAAATCCAACGAATCCCGGCAATGGCAGCGCGTTCAGCTCTCCACCGATGCGCCCCTCAATCATGACCAGATCATTCGATATGCACGCATGTCTACCATGTAATGTAAAGCGGGATCTGTGCAATCTCCATAAATCACTAATATATATTCATATATATTTGATGTGTTTAATCTATAAGCATTTACCTGATTTGGGGACTATCTATCGGATATATTCCTTAATCGCATCCATCAATGTATTGTATTTAACTTATTTTCTTTGGCATTTACATTTTTGATACTAATAAAATCGTTTTATTTAGTTTGCTAGACTCTTAAATATGGAACTCTTCTGATATGCCTTAGTACAGTATACGATTGATATAGTTTTGTTGTAAAAAGTTTTGATTTCTTAATGTAGGGAAATGTTTTGATTATTCGTATAGTTTGGAAACCTTTACGGGTCTTTGGTGCTCACTTCTTTGATCTATCATCAATATCTATCAATACAGTTCATTTTAATCAGAACAGTACACAGTTTCCTGTTCTGATATTCCTGTAAATAATAGTTCTTCTTTCTCATATATAAATTGTTCATGGCTTAACTAGTACGCATTAAAATGCAATCTTCCTTTTGTACTTCAAAATTCCAGTCTTCAGGAACAATACCTTATGCATATTAACCTTATAAAAACTTTCCCAGAATTTCTTAATTTGATCTATATTCCCAAAAAAAGCCAAAACAAAATCGAAATGAAAACCATATAAAATTATATATCAAATTTACCAAAATGTTTTTATTTAAGAAACTAAAACAAATCGAAATGTAATGTAAAAGATTTGCTATAGAATTTCGATCATCATCAGCCGTTTTAAGCATACAACTCGAACTTAAAGTAAAACTAAAGCTAATCACTAAAGAGACAAAACAAAAATGTTGATCACAAATGTATCTTTGTTGTGCAGAACCTTACGTACTTAGATGATGATACTCAAGATTTGGCATAGCCCGAATTCCAGCAGGAATCCCAGCTCGGTTGATGGGGGGCTGTTGTAAGGAAATTTGTAAATCGTAGGAAAATGGCAAGTTTTGATTGCTATGATGGAAACTGGGCGATTGACATTGTTTATGGGTAATTTTCGTTGATTTGTTTTTTTGGTATTCAGCACTTAAACTGGAATAAGCTACCCTAAAGCCTTCTTGCATACAATATTTCAATGAATATTTAAATAAATAATTAAGCTAGCTTCAACATCTACGATTGGGTCGATCAGTAAAATATAAGCAAAGATCTCGCAGACGAAATATGTAGATGCAAGACTTAACCAAAGATACGATACAGGGAGATACAGAGAAATAAAAACAGAGACTTGTTGATGGACAAACCCAACTATGTACATAGGGAATAAAACGTAGACTTAAGAACGTAAAAGAATTAAACATAGAATTTGTAGGACTAGCTCCTATCGTTTGTTCAGCTTGCGCCAGAGCGTGAGGATGGTCAGGACATGCATCACCCCGATCACTATGCCCATGAGCAGCAGACAGTCGGACATGTGCACGTCCGAGATCATCATGTACTTCAGAAACACTTTGGGACTCCTGAAATGACAGTACATCGCATTCTCCGGACACTCGAGGAAAGCGCGATCCATCCCATAGATCGCATTCAAAGCACCATGGAATCCGGCCCGGAAATAGCTCAAATGCCACATCCAGCGGAACAGCGGTGTGATGTCTATGTATCGTGTACAAAAGCCAAACACAGAGAACATCACCGCTAATATGGGTCCCAGAAATACGGCAAGCTGTCGGATTAAGATAATATATCAATTAACTTTAGTTTCATTAATTTTGAGGTGTGATTAACCCACCTTTGTTGGCAGCGTGGCTCCCACGAAGAAGCCCCAGGCCTGGGCACTCAACGAAGCCATTATTCCCAGCAGCATAAAGTAGTATATGCGAAAAGACTCTACGCTATCGTTACCCGTCAAATGAACGCTGATGATGATGTACAGGGCGGTGCAGAGGCTCTGTAATAAAACCACGAATACATAGGAGGTTAAGTAAGAGAATAAGAAGAGATATGCCTAATGTAAGGCAGGTGCATGATCCGTAAGATCATATACTTTAGCTCTACTATTCTTCTACTCCTATAACTATTTATAAATTCAAATGATCATCTGATCAGTGCATCTATTTTCCTCCAAGCAGCACTGCAAAATCTTCATGTCGGTATAATTACCCGTAAAATGTAGCTCTTTTGATTTGATTCCCTCGTTGATTTCTAGCATGACTAAACCTATAGCTTGCAAGCTTGGATTGCATTCATGATCGGAAGCAATTGAGAATGCTTTGATTACTCATTCTACAGCGATTCTTAAGATTCTCGGACCAGTAGCAATCGGAATCAGCAATCCATTAAGAATAACGAAAGCAATTCTTTTGAAATCGAAACAACAGAACGTGGAAATTTCTCTCCGTCGGTGAACAATCGTTTCGGGGAATAGCTGGTAGCCAAATTGTCAGTGGAGTCCACTGCACGGGGCCACTTACGCGAGTCTGTCACGCAAAACAAACCTGAAAATCAGCGATTTCACGTCGCTAATTTGACTTAATGACCGGACCAGCAATTCATTAAACAAAAGCCCACCACCATCTATGATTGTTAAACATTAAATAATGATTGATGATGTCCATCATGGTGATGGGCGATGCGGAATGACGATGCGGGTGGGGATTACTAACCTGAAAGGGTATCTCGAAGGAGATCAGCGATAGGAAGTACGGCCCGAGTTTATACCAGCGATTAAAGTGCTCCCTTGTCAGCATGTCTATTTCCAGCGGAACTGCAAATGAAAAAAATTAATTGAGAAATGTTATTTATTTATTAAATTCGATATGTGCACGAAGGTGATATGTGTATGTGCATACACATGTTTGTACCGTACCTATGTAGGTCAGGTCAGTAAACCGAAACCGGTAAAGATCTTAACTCGTATCCCCCTTATCCCGTTGATCTCTCTCTCTCTCTCTTTCGTAAGAGAGATCCCCAGACCCTGACACGGACTCATTTATTGTAAAAACGCTTCGAGAATCGTTCATATACCGGTTTTATTATACAATAGCCGTAGCCCCCAAGCTTGTGTCGCTTGTCCATACGCTCATCGTCTGGTACTTTACGATTATTTACATTTTAGGCTTCAGGATTGGTTTTATAAAGGTGAGAAACTCATTTTGGGGTAATTTACATGGAAATTATAAATGATAAAGTGGTTCGACATTTTACATTTTATCAGATCTCCGACCTTGCTACGAGGTTAATGTGCGAAATCGGTGTGGATATAATCTGCGAGTGATACATATCATTCCGCAAATATTTCCCTAAGAGACTAATATCATAAGAGCTTTGAAGATTGTAGATATTTGATGTCAATTTTTCTGTTCAATTCCGTTATGTCAAAAGTTATAGAGTTTAAAGTTGAATGATTTGTTTGACTATTCTTTTCTATTGCGAAACGAGTTTCCGCTTTTGGCTTTAAATGCATATTTATGCATATTAATTTGATATATTAATCCCTTATAAATTGTATGATATTCATTTTAGATAATTATTTTCCAGTTCCCAAGTTGG